TTGCTTTCCAAAATGTCTAGCAAATTTGATTTCAGTGAAGTCTGGACAAGACAAAGGCTGTGGTTTTCTGACTCCACAAGTAATAAATAAATGCAACATAAAAAAAAAATCAAATGAAATGGAAGTTTCTGTTTGTAAAGTACAACCCAGAAAGAGAGGAAAAAAAAATTAGTGAGTACATAAGACAGGCACTTCAGCAACCTATTCTGATGAATCCTCATCTCTGGAATCAGAGTCAAAAAGACAACTTGACTTAGGAGTGGAAGAACTTACAGACATGAATGAACAACAAACTTCATCAAGCACTTATATTACGAAAAAAACGGACTCATTTGTGGGAAGAAAATAACAAAATAGCAACACCTGAAGGATAAAATTTTATGCAAACTGTACCATGTACAGATATTTGATGCAGAGTAAAGATGAGACTTCTGCTTCCAAATCAGAAACTCTTATAGTTTTTTTTGTCTCTCACACAAACAAAAGAATACTTCTGTGGTACAAAAGGAAAAACTACGTAAATCAACCATTTATTTCCCTATATCTTCTGTTCTGTGAATAGCTATTTTTCAGGTTCTAATTTCAAATTTTAAAAGATATTTTCATTTGCTTAATTAACTGCTAGACCCCCTTAGGCAATTCAGTCCTTTCTGTGGCACTGAAGTGAATATATTATTCCAAGTTTATGCAGAAACCTGAAATTTATCTTAAATCTCATGTGTCTTTAAGGTCAAATAACACTGAGGAATAAATGACTAATAATACCTTCATGTGCAACATAGGCACTAAAGGGATGGTGCAAGAATGCTGCTCTCATAGTCTATGTCATTTTTCATTAATTTTTCTTGTATTTTCTTGCATATGATAATAGATAAAATAGCATCAATATCTAAAAGTTTCAGTGTGAGTATCAAGATACTGTTTTATAGTGAAATATCTTTAAATCCATCACAGCTTTTAATTTCCACAGGAAATAACAATTCAGGGAATTTTTTTCCCCCACAGGAAAGTCTAAATATTTAAATTACCATATTTTTAATGTACTGACATGTTGATGGTCAGATGTTCTTTGATGCTCAAATATAGATTGGCAGAAATCAGAGCAGCATAGGGGCTTACAAAAATGTGGTATTTATGTTTGGCAGCAATTACTTTGTGAAAAAGACAAGGTGACTCTTTTTATGCTCCTTCTTTCTTCTTTTTTATATTTTTCTCCTCCAAGTTTGGCATGAATCAAAAGAGCTAAAAACTAATTTAACATGACAAATGCTTTCATCACTCCCTTAACCTCTGAAGTGAACACTCTGACAAAGACAATATGTATGGTATATGCTTTCCTTTTGACACTTTATAAATTACTTTCTTGTAACTGGGTTTTACCACCAGCCCAATATCTCCAGGATGTCCTAATTTGAATGGCTGGTTCTACATTCTTCATGTGTCACCCCTAGATAATAGGAATAACTCCTGGGCTTTGTGAAATAGCACAAGTCTCAGAGAGGGCTGTGGGACAATTTTATTTACATCCTGCATGCTGGAATTTACCAAAAGGTAGTGCAATACTAGCAACTACCACTCTGCATTTCTTTCACATCTGGCTATTGAGGAAACAAGGAGAAGTGACAAACCTGGCTTTAAATGTTCAGACAGCCTTGTGAACATTATGTAATGGAAAAGTTAATTGAAGTGACTTTTTTCCTATTCTCTACTACTAAAAATAGTGTAACAATCAGCCACAGAAACATTTCAAAGTGCTCTTTCAGACACACCATTTGCACTTTTTTCCTCTGTCTAGTCCTTCAACAAGAAGACCAAAAGTTACCTGATTTAGTTTCAACCTGGTGAATTTGAACTGTGTTAAAGTTTCTGCAAAACCCCTGTCAGTGTAAAGGAATTCAGACACAGACCAGTATGTCTAAATGGGAAAACACCTGCACACAGACCCAAGCCTATTCTGCACAAACAGCTGCCCTATTACACTGGACCAGTGCAACACAGACCTGCAGCATTTTTTCTCAGGTATCAGTCAGGGTCGTTTGCAGAGGAAGATTTAGAAAAATTCAGATAACAGTGGAACTGACTGGTCTGTAAAGGAAGAGTCTATCTAAATAACCAGACTTGGATGACATATTATGATATAAACCATCAATCTATATGTATCTTTAAAAAGAAAATAAAACCCAAAGTTACCTTCTAAAAAGGCATATTGCCATTATTTTGACAAATGTTTAACTTAAAATCTCAGTAGTATCTTTATTTAACATCAATTATGTAGTGTGGCAAAAAGATCCAAAGGTTATTTATGCACTATGAATTTATTTTTAAAGTGTTAAACATACTGCCTTTTCAATTCATTCATTGTATTTTTAGTTGTGTATTGAAGGAAAGGCATGCCTAATAGGAATGCCTAATGATTTAAAAAATATTTTTCTTTTCTATTAATTATGAGATTCTTTTTCTTGCTTCTCTCTATTTATCACCCTCATTATAATTTGTTTCATGCCAGCCATAATCTTTTGCAGTTTCAAAGTCCCATGTTTAAACCTGCAGACATGTTTTCAATGATCCATCCACATCAATTCTTCCATCTCTTTTATGACAGGACAATTCATTTAGAAATCCTGAAGAGTATGAGAACTTCAAAGAACTCTTTCAGTTTAATTTACCTCATATTTGCCATCACTGCCTTTTGCATTTGGTCCTACACGGGTCTTGATCAGCATGGATACAATCATGTTCACCCAGCCCAGATACACTGACAAACCTAAGAAGCAGAACCATTTGCTGCAAATTTTGATGACTTTTTCCATAACTCTTACTTTTAGCTAATGTAACCCCAGTGATGGAACCTCTGCTATGTCAGAGAGCAAGAAATTTTCTTTGTGGGCATGTAAGGCAGAAATACAATAGCAGCACCTTCAAAGCCTTTCATTTTTTGAAATCAGGAGATGATTTAGCACCTTAAGTCACACTGTTGGAGGACAGCAAGGATTAGTTTATAGCTGATGGTCTTACACCTGCTCTTTGTCATGTGCAATGAATTGTATGATTTTTTGCTGAGAGTGAAGGAATTAATTTAATAAATGGCCTACCTAAAGCACTTTGCTTTTACCTTTCTGTTGTTCTCATGCATCTAAGGCTATACCACTGCTTTTTTGTTTTTTCTTTTCTCTCTCTTCCATCACTCTAAATTATGATCATAGCGGATCTATCAAATTTATTCATAGGATTCATTTCAGCTATTTTCTGGTTTTGACATACACTTATTCTTTCCTGTGTATGGTATGAAGCTTGTCAGGTAACTTCTCATTATTTAAACCTTGAGCTAACACTCTCTCCTAAACCCTGCTTTGTTGTGCTCACTACCAACTCTATTGTGCTCATCATTCTTTCAACAGGAAAGACGACCTCAAAAACTTCTGTCAAAATGGATCAGTTATGTCATTACTTGAAATGATAGATCATTCATCAATTATTAAGAGTCAATACATTGCCTTACATTCTCTCTTGTCTTATATATGAAAGTATAAAAAGCAATAACCACGTTGCAAAGCTTTGCTTAAGATTACAGTAACCTAAATACCAAGGAAAAAACACATTTCATAATCCATCACTTCAAAGTTATGCACATGATTAAAATGTTCAACTTGCAGTGTATCATTTCCCATGTGCATAATCACTCTAACAGGGAGCTGCTGTATGATAACTGTCAACTTCAATGAATTATGTGCTTTCCAATCTTTTCATTTATATACCCAACTAAGCTTGTTATTCTTCTGAGGCTTTCTACAGGGGAAATACAGAAAGATGGTTAGATCTGTAGTACTCAGTGTGCTGGGATGTAGGTCTGGACTAAACAGACAGCAGGAATAGTCAGCCAGTTCTCTCCTACTACTATATATATTAATCACATATGGAAGCTCATTAGTATGAAAAATGGGGTTTTCTTAGAAAATGGTATCTATCCTGAAGAGTCAGGTTATATAGGATCAAAAAAAAAAAAAAAATCAGCACATCTTTATAAATCTTCTGAGTGCTATATGTGAGAATAGTTTCAGAGAGGAAATAAATCCCACAAAGCATAGGTCTGAAAAGAACTAATAGAAAATATCGTCAAGCTACCATAATTTTGCCATTTACTCTGAGAAAGTAAAGAGTGTGAAGCACTTAACTGCCATCAGTATATTGTTAAAGGCACTGTAAAAGGTACAAAATACACTGGTAGTTTATGCAGACACCTAAAAAATCTCTACAACAACAGAGAAAGAGAGGGGACCAGGGGAGGGGGAGGAAGTCAGAAATTAATTAAATTAATAATGACAAAATCTCAGCAGCATGTTAAAAACATCCCAAAAAAACACAGAAAGGATTAGAACACAGTATGGTCACTAATAACATTGGAAAATAAAAACAACATTCAGCGTTTCTATATTTTTCCTTACAGAACTCTAAGGATGAGTAGAATATGGAAAATAACTGTATGCAAAATGGAACTATCTGATGATTCAAATTTAACACCCCCAGGATTTAGGCACACAGACCAATATAGACTGAGAACTAGTAATCAAAATGATTTTGCTTTTTTTATCAAAAGGCAGCATATGATGGTAATGTTTGAATTCAAATGCCACTTGCTTCTGTTACTTATGTGAGTTCACCACCTATCACAATTTTTTTCTAAATACTTTTTAAACATATGGCACTACATGAAAAAGTCATTAAATCCCTCTGTTTGGACCATCTATGAGATGTGCATATCTGACACCCAAAGTTAACACTGCACATTAAGAATCCTGAATCAATTTCTTGCTTCCACTGCTCTTATGACAGTGAACGTGACTGGAACATTTTATTTTTCCTCATTAATCAGTATAAGGAATAATAATATTCTTTGCTCACTAAGAACACATACTTGTGAAACACATTGACCATCCTTTTATCTGCTGAACTTTTATTTTCTGACACAGCCATGTGATTTGAGAGAGAAAACACAGCCTTACCTATGAAATATGCTAGCAAGATGGCAAGCAGGACTGCAGCAGCAATTGCAGATAAAGCAGCACATTTCCAGCTACAGTACTTGGAGGGTTTTTTCAGCTTGAATGCATTCCTGGAGAATGTGTTTCTAGGTAAGAGCCTGGGAGGTGGAGTGTAAACCGTTCCTGAGGTCAACGGGTAACCAGGGGAAGAACTACTGAACAGCGGAGTAGTTCCAGAAGATGTCTTAAACAAGAAATGCCTGAAAAACATAAAATGGAACAGAGTTGAAAATGGCAAGTCCTGTAGTTAAGACAGAACATCTCCTACTCCTGTACCGTTCCAGCTGCCACAGTCTGGTAAATTCAACCAAAAAGAAAAAGGATTTTTTAGGAAGAAATAGGGAAATGAAAATTCTCCGGTTTTTTTTGCTACCAAATCTTAACAACTGGCACTAAAATACAGTGTGAGGATATCTTTCTTAATCTTTTCTGTAATTAGATGCAACCTGACCACATACTAGCTAAAACACCAGCATGACCCATGCAGGGTCTTGGAGTTCTCTGTGGAATCCACCACTCAAAAAAGGTTTTAAGAAAACCACACTCTGAGTCTCATTTACACTCTTGGCAAAAGATCCCAGCAAAACCACTGAGAACATACTGAGCAAAACCCATGGTCCTGTAGGAAAAGGTTTTGCCAGAATTAGAATTAACCATGATTTTGTGGTTTAACAGTACACAGGTTTGGTTTGAACAGCTAAGACAATTACCAACAACACATGACTCAGCAGATAAAACGAGGATTTCAGGTGCCCATACATTTGTTAGGAAGAAAATAAGGGACAGAATACACTCTAAAGAATCTCAGAAAATGCTGTCAACACATTCCAGACAGAAGTAACAGAGAAAGCAAACTGGAAGACTGGTTTCTTTAAATTAACTTCTCACAGCCAGGAAGAACTGACTACAAACATGTTCCCAGTTTGTACAAAAAAAACCAAAAACATAAAAAGAGAAGCACAGAATAAAGGCTGTGGTCTTACAGAAAGTCACTTGGTTTAAGACAGAGAGCTCTGAAGAATTGCTCCATACCCTCTCCCTTCACAACTCTGAAAAACAAGTGCTTCTTGGAATCAGACAGAATAAAGACACTCAGTAATCTCCAAAATCAAAATCACAGCCTAAAATAACCCAGGTCTTACTTCCAATGTAAAATATGTTTAACATTTTTATTCAGATACAATCCAGTATGTCACTCTCAAACCACCTGTTAGAGCTTTAAAATCCATGTCACTCACTGACAACAGTAATTTGGAAGTTGGAGGCTGAGATGTGTTTCCCAAGCATGTTTTCCAGCCCACCATCATGAATGTGCCTACTGTCAAGCTGATTTGTGTATACCCATTCTACAGAATACCAGAAGTGATTTTAAAGTCATTTTTTGGAAACATTTGTTTTGAAATAAAACTCAGAGCATAAGAGATTGTGCATAACTTGCACACAGGTGAAAGACAGTAAAAGGAAGGCTGGCTAGGCCCCCCAGATTTCTGCTTAAACATTTCCATTTGAAGACAGCCTCTGAAAATAGGTTCATAAACTGTATTAATGGACATGAAAAATCACTTTGACATTGCCTTTGTTACTGATTTTTAAACTCCAAGTGGCCTTGTACCTCCCTTTCAACAGTGACCAAAATCTAGTTTGTTGGAGAAAACAAAGACAGTGACAGTGTCCACTGTCATAACTTTTTGTTTGTGCTTTGGAGACTTCAGATACACAATCAGACTCAAACAATTTAATTCTCATCAGTTACTTAATAGAAACATTGGGGTTTTTTAACAAATAGAAAACACAGTCCTTTTTTGACCCTTTTTAACAAATAAAAAACACCCTTCTTTCTTCTTTATCAGTGAGAGACCTTAGAGGTTAGAGGTTGCTTCTTTTCTGCACATCATAGGTGATCTATGAGAATAAGCTATAAAGAGAAATGCTAAAAGATTTCCCTTTAAAATGGCCAGCCTTTGAATTTTTAAAAACATCTTTCAGCAAAAAGAAAGCCAGAAATAATGAAAGTCTGGTGTCTTGAATACTTAATTTTAAATGTTTCTTTACTTTGCAACAGTTCAATTAAAGCAGCTGATGGGAAAACGATGTCATGGGGCTGGTTGTGTTACACCAGATCTATTGACTCCTCTGCTCCTTCTGTCTGGGTAGAACCTGATTAATTTGGCAGCAGAAGCAGGTTTAGTCCTTTGCTCTCCAGTGCTGGGAGCACAAGACCAGGTCCATGATTGGATACAGAGACTGAAATGACAGCACAGGGGAAAGCAAGAAGGAAGACAAAGCCAGAGAGGCAAAGGCAGGCAGGAAAGCTCCTCTCTATCCAGGCTAATTCTGCATCTGCCTCAGCCCAGGACCCTTCTCCTCCTGAACCCTCATGGCAGGAGCAGCTCTCTCAGGTTTGGACAGAAGGGTCTATAACACACAGTTCTTACCCTATCCCTGCCCAAAAGCAGATGTTTCAGAACAAAACTGGAAATTACAGTCCTTGGAACTATCTTTATCTGAAATGCCTTTAAATCCAGGAGTTTTATGTCCTCTTTACCCGAGAAGGAAGCTACAGCACCAACAGAAATTTTAATATAAAGCATTGTTAAAGTAAACTCAGCTATATAATGAAACTCTGCTCCCATTAAAATTGAATTAATGAATATCCAGATATGCTTTAATAGAACATGTCAATCATATCCTGTTGCATGTGAGAAGACAAAAAAAAAGTAGAACAAAAAAGCAGCTCCACTGTGATCCACTTTGAGATACATAAAGTATATAAAGAAAATCAAGACACTTATCCATGTAAACAGGATCTCTATGATATCATTAAAACTAATCAGAACTTGTAGAAGCAAAAAAAGCCAACTGAAAAGGATATGTGAGATGTCATTCTCAAAGCCAAAAAGAATGAATTTCATTGGATAAGCCCTGAATTTTGTCACATTTTGTCCTATCCATGCATTTCGAAAGCTGAAAGTTCCTTGTCTCATTATGGGGACCCCTGACAAAGTGTCAGCCATCAGAAGACATCACACCACCTGAAAGTACACAAGTTCTGCCTTCAAAAGTTAAAAAACACATTTAACTAAAGATGTGTTAAATATCTCCCAAGACACTTCAGGAAATTGGCACTTGCATTCCAAAGCTGGGGGCCAGGTTAGCAGATACACCTTAAATCACAGCCAAGCAAGAAAGAAAGATTGGGAACATAATGGACAAAACACTTGGACCTCCAGAGTTTTAAATCTAGATTCAGCTACTAATGGAAATAAATTGACTTGTCTCAACTCTATCCCTAAACCAAATGATCTATAGTCATATTTTTATGTGAGATTTGACATGGTCTGGTACAACCAATTGTCTGTGGGCTGAAGCTGCACAGAGAGAACATGAGCATTTATCAACATTAATTACAGCTTCACAGTGGTAAGGCTGGGAACATTGTACAATGCCTGCTTATGAAAAGAAATGATCTGATTTGTACCAGTTCACTTAATTTCAAATACACTCTATATAAGAATTAAAAAATTGTATTCTCTGTCTTACCTGTTCACCTATCAAACATAATTAAGAAAAACACATTTTCTACTGCATAACTAAGCATTAGCAATTTGAATTAGACTAGGACTAATTTTCTATTTGGAAAACATGGGAGTAAATTTGTTAAGTCTCAGCTCAGTCTCTCTAATTTCTGTGGATCAATAAGACAATTCCACACTGAAGAATTCACAAAATATGGTTGCCAGTCTACGATGATTCTGTAATTTCAGTGTCCTTGGGAAGCTGTGGAAGGAGCTTGGGTGCTGCCCATGGAACAGAAGTGAACCCTGCAGCTCATCCCTGCTCTCCTCTCCCACTTCCAGGCTCTGGCTGCAGGATTCAGGATCCACCAGGATTCAGGATTCTCCCCCTGTTTTCAGCCTGCTGCTGGATGGGGTCACACCCAGGCACCTCAGTGGTGACACCACCCCCAAGGTGACATCTGTGAAAGCTGAGCTCGTGAGGGGACATTTGGCCACTGTTCTGTGCACTAATGGCAAATAGAAAAAGCTGTATTTTGCTTTCTTCATTAATTCAGAGCTCTCCCTAGCATGTGCTTTCCCACAGGTCAAAAGGACCGCTGGTGTTCAGGGAATAGTGGTCTGACAGAGACTGTATTAACTTCTATATTCTTTGAGAGAACAATCAGCTTTTTTCCCCCTCCTTTCTGGACAGATTGTCATGACAGCACACTACAAGAATGAGTGTAGGAAAAAAAAAAATTGGTTTTGCGATGGAAAACTGTAATAGAAAGGAAGAAAAAGACATTTTCTAACAAAAATTGCTTCTTTCCCTCCTCATACTGTCCTAAACTTATTCTGTATGAAAAAAAACCAAAAAAGCATACAGAGAATTGTAATGCTTAAATTGTTTTTTTTTAATACTTTATAGAGTTTTTAATAGTAATTAATAAATAGTGAAGCTACATGCCAAGAGAATAGTAACAGCTCAATTTAGTTGTTCTAAGACTTAAAAATATCTTCAAGCTGTGGTAAAATCACATCTGTCTGTAATTTTATTGGGCATTTATTCTTAGCAGAAAACAATGGATTATAGAACATAATATGCTGGGTTTCATTGTGATAAAAACCCCCAACCTTCTGCAGTTTTCAAAGTCTTCCAAAAAAGTAGCCATGAGTCATTTTATGTCACTGGAAGCCTCAAAGTGGCTGCCAAATTCAGACAGTGAAGTTTTATGGAAGATTTTTTACTTCCAAACAAAAAGAAACCAAGTCTGAAGAAAACGGTGAGCTGTTCTTATGCCTGCTATGAAAACATGAACTCTGAGTGGTAGACTAGTGCAAGCTTTGGTTGTCTGTGTCCCAGTCTTTTCCCAAATGAGATTTAATTGTATGTTCACTCAGGTTCTTGCAGAAAACATGGGACCATCAGCCATGTTTCCACGGCTGAAGGCTCTTTGATGTGGTAAAACTGCACAGAAGTTTATACCCTTTGGAGTGCCTAGAACTCTAATGCCAGCAATAAAGCTTAAGAAGTGTTATCTATCTGAGTTTAAATTGTGTAATTACAAGAAATTGTCTCAATCATGTCAAATCCACAGACTAAACTCAGTAAGACAGATTTTTCAGTGGAAAGCTATTTCAAATATACATATATATAAACCCAGTGGCCATTTTACACACCTGGGTGTTGTGCACCCACACCC